AATAAACATGGGTGTGCATATATCTGCTTGGATGTCAGTTATGGTCTCTTTGGGGTATATTCCCAGGGGTGGAATTGCTGGGTCAAATGGGATCTCTATTTGCAACTTTTTGAGAAAGGTCCATACCGCCTTCCACAGTGGTTGTACCTGGACATATTTTCTAATCTCCTAAATCCATAGCTGTGAATTCTGGCTTGGATGGTAAACTGTTTCATTTTCTGAGGCCCTATAACTTTTCCACAGCAGCTGCACTCTTTTACATTACCACCAGCAATACAGGTTCTAATTTCTGCAGATCCTCACCAACACCTCTAATTTTCTTCCAGGATATAGCCATTCTGGTGATTACAAGGGATATCTCAGTGTAGTTTTGATTTGCATTTCCCTCTTAACTAATGGTGTCTGGCATCTTTTTATGTCCATGTTGTTCATGTCTATTTTTTCTTTGGAGAAATATCTAATTATTTTTTCCTTTTTCTTATAGGATTGTCTTTTTATTGTGGAGTTATAAGACTTCTTTATATTCTGGATACTAATAAGATATATTATATATAACATTTACTCCCATCTCTGCAGGTTTTTTTTACACTTGTTTAGTTTTGATGAGGTTCAATCCAGTCTTTTCTTTGTTGATTGTGCTTTCAGATTTTTATGTTCAAGTGACTCCAAACATTGCCTAATCCATGGTCATGGAGAGGTAGTATTGTTTTCTTCCAAGACTTTTATAGTTTTAACTCTTAACAATTTTTATCCATTTCTAATTCAACTAATTGCAACTCATTGCTATCAAGGAACTGACCTTTCAGTAGTGGGTTTTCAGAGCTGTTAATTACATGGAAGGAGACTACCCATCTTTCTCCCGCAGAACCACTGGTGGATTCAGACCACCAGAGTGACCACTTTGGGTTAGCATCACAGCTCCCTACCCATAAGGCCACCAGAGCACCTCCATCCATTTCTAGTTCATGTTCCAATATGTGATGTAGGAGTCTGACTTCCTATATTCATGTGTGTCCACCCAATTTCCTTAGCATCATTTGTTGAAGACTCTTTTCCAATGAATTATCATGGCACCTTGTGAAAAATCAGTTGACCATAAATATATGCTTCTACCTGAGCTGTCTCTTACATTCTGTCGAGCTGTGCTAGGACCATGCTATCTTGATTTCGTTTTAAGTTTTTAAAGCAGGAAGTGTGAGTTCTCTAATTTTGTTTCTATTTATTTTTCATTTTAAAGTGTACAAAGCGAATTGGTTTTCCATTCAACCATTTGTACACACTTTGTTTACTAGAGTACCTTTCCCATGTGGTCCCAGTGATTCATGTTCCCTAATCATCCTCCTCTACCTGTTCCTACTTTCCAGGTTTGTCTCTGAGCAGTTGCTGCCATTTTGACCTCCCATGGTGGTTATCCTAAAGATTGTCTGCTTGGTGTATTTGTTCACGTTACAAGCCTATCTATTTTATAGCTGAAAGTTAAGCCACAGAGGTGAATTTTGTTCTAGGGTCAAAGGCCAATTTTGTTCTTTTTCAGTATTCTTTTGACTCTTCGTGGTCCCTTGAATTTCAGTATGAATTTTGGGATCAGCTTGTCCGTTTCTGTAAAAAAGGCAGATGGTGTTGCTTCTGCATCTCTTTGTTCTCTCCTTGGCTTCCAGGTTTTCTTTCATCCCTTCCCCCAATTCCAAACCAGCCCTTCCAGGGAAAACAGAGAACAGGGCCAGAAAGAGGACCTTGTCTGATTCAGTGCATTTAACAAATACCACAGCCCTAGTTAAGGCCAGCACCATTAGGCACAAGTACCTGAGCACTGATGGGCTTTTGAAAGACATCAGGCACTCTTTCTTACCTGGATCCTGCCCTCTTGGCGGCAGGCAGCAGACTGCATTCCCAGCAAGGTATGGGTGGTGGAAGTGCCAGCAGCTACAAAGGTGATGACTAGGAATCAGGAGCATTTAATAGAATGCAGAAATCTGTTTTGGGGGTCTTTGGGGCTTTTTTGCTTCCTAGTTCTATTCACCAAAATGCCCCAGTTGCCCTTAAGGTCATGCTCACTGGAAATCAGCGTCTGGATGAATAAGCAGGGCTCCCAGCCTTTGGGGGTGTGGTTAGGAGCCTGAGGTCCCAGCTGTAAGCGCTGTAACAGCTGTGGTTCTGTGCTCATGGGCAGTAGTAGTGATGGGAGCTCCCTTCCATCCAGTGCTGGACCAGAGACTGTGAGACCCACTTCATACCTGTCCTCCCATTGAAACCTCACATGCCTAGAGAGAAGATGGTGGTGGTGGTGGTGGTGGTGGCAGTGGCGGTGGCGGTGGTGGTGGTCGTGGTGGTGGTGGCGGTGGTGGTTGTGTACCGTTGGGCTGGAACCAATCTATAGCTGACCCTCCAGTGGGTTTTCAGGGACAGTCACATAAGAAGAGATTACCCATTCTTCTTCCACAGAGCAGCTGGTGGATTTGAACCACATGCCTTTGGGATTGCAGTGCAGTTTCTTACCACTAGATCACTAGAAGTCCCCACAGAGAAGGTACTCATATTTATTCCCATTTTACAGATGAGGCAACTGAGGTGCAAATGCCTAAGTTCCTTTGTTCAAAAAGTCCCAGGGCTGAAAAGTGGAGGTGCACTATTCTCTGTGCTCCCTGCCTCTCTGAGGGGCTGTCCCTTCCATGCTTCATCAGTCACAGGACATCAGGACAGCCTGAGCCCTCTTCTTCCTGGTAGGGTCAGTGCCAGGATTCCTAAGGGTCAGGTTTAACAGGAGCCTTATTCTACAAATTGGTGTGTGGGCCCATCACCGCCTCCAGCTGCATTTAGTTCCTGGTTGGGTTAGATGCACAGCTGTTCATGGGAGCATCTCAGGAATTTCCTGTCCTTCTCAGTCACATCTGCAGCTTTTGTTTCATTTGAGTCATTGCCACTCGCCAGAATGTGCACAGTCTTACATGCTTTTGATGATTCAGAAATGAAATTGATGCTACTGAGATTCATGAGTGGCAGCATTTGAAAACTGGTTTCCCTCTCTCTTCCTTGATGATGGAGAGGATGTGCTACCACCTTAGAAGCTTTTGTGTTTCCCATCCCTGCACCCCACTCCCATGAGAAGCTGAGAATGATCAGCTGAAGCGACTTAGCTTTAAAAACTGCCTCGCCTTTCTCTACACTATTGAAGACTGCTTGTTTGCTTGTTGGATTTTTGCAGAATTTGTTGTTCAAATAGGTAGCTCCTAAACATTTCTCATTAGATGCTCCTGTAATAAAGTCACACACACATACATTCACCTATACTTATTTGTGTGTGTACATGTGTGTGCAGACATACACATCATGATAGATGGAAAAGAGAGAGAAATTGTCAACTATTTCATCTTACTTGGTTCCACAGTCAGCACCCTTGGTACCACCAGAAGTCAGGAAATCGAAAGATGTGTTGCATTGGGAAAATTGGCTCTTGGGACCTCTCCAAGGTGCTGAAGAAGAGTGATATCTGTTTAAAGACCAAAGTGCACCTATTCCAAATTATGGTCTTTTCAGTTACTTGTTGTGCACCTGAAAATTGGACAATGAATAAGGATGATAGGAGGTACATTGATGCCTTTGACTCTTGGTATTGGAGAAGAGTCCTGGCTGTTCCATCGACTGCCAAATGAACAAACAGACATATTTTGAAAGAAGTGTATAAGCAGCATGCTCCCTAGAAGCAAGGATAGTGAAACTTCATCTCATATACTTGGATATGTTGTTAAGAGAGGCCAGTCCTTGGGAAAAGACATCGTGCTTGGAGAGGTGGAGGGTCAGCTGAGGAGGAGAAAACCTTCAATGAGATAGATTTACACAGTGACTGCAGTTAATATGTTCAAGTATGTTAGAGATGATGAGGATGGCACACAGTAGTGCATGGTTCAGATCCATCATTCACAGGATCATTATGAGTCATAGTTGACTCAATAGCACCTAACAACAACATACAGTAAAAATGTAATAATTTTCAAGGACATCTATTATTCTGGTGCTTTGATCTAGAGCATTTTAGCCATATTAAAAGTTGTTTGTATACAATTCTTCCCGTGACCTGTCTCTTGGCCCATTCTAATGCTCTGACAACAACAAAGGGGGCAGATTTAGTTCAGCACAGACAGTCCCAGCACAGCACAGACAGCACAGACAAACAAGTTCTGCTCCTAAAATATCTTTAAATTGAATTTGTTCTTTAAGAACAATTTTGGAACTACTAAGTATAATTCCTACCCAACATCAGTTAGTCAAAAATTCACCTTAGTATGTAGTATACATTCTATGTGTTTAAAAAAAATAGACACTTTCAGATATACTAAAAATCTTTAAAGTAATACTCATTGACAGTAGCTGGGAACTGACTTATAGTTCACCCTCCATTGGATGGATCCATGAGGATTGCATAAGAGGAGATTGTCCATCTTCTATTTTTCCCATGGAGCCAGTGGTGAATTTGAACTGTCAGAGAGGCATAATTTTAGGATTAGTGGTGTACCTCTTTGTTCCGGGGACTATGGCACATTTTAATATAGTAATACATCAATCTGGCCAAGTGGTAAGAAGCTGTACTGCAATCCCAAAGGCACACAGTTCTAATCCACCAGCTGCTCCGTGGGAGGATAGGCAGTCTTCTCCTGCGTGATTAACTGCCTCTGAAATCCTGCCAGAAGATCAGCTAAAAGTCGATTCTGACTCGATGGTACACAACAACCACAACAGTCATTATAATGGTTTGATAGTTATTGCAAAGGAAAGCGTATTTGTTATTATGAAGCACTGTACGTACCTCATATTTTTAACAAAATAAGTTATGTGAGAGTCTGTTTGTAATTCTGAGGTGTCTATAAATTGGGTTGTTTGTCACCTGCATTGTGTTTCATACATGTATGCTCTTTTAGGCTTATCCAGAACCAGATCACAGCCAAGGGGGTTTCGCAACTGGCAGCTGCGTTGCAGAACAACACTGGTATAATGGAGATCTGGTAAGCCCTCGAATCACATGTCATAATAATGTAGCAATATGGACAATTTACTCAGAATGACCTACTCTGTGTGTGTACCATCTAGGAAAACGTCCATCTAGTCTTCATTTTTCCAAAAGTCCTGCAAAGTACATGTTATTATCTCCATCTCACAGATGTAGAAAATGAGGCCCAGAAAGGTAAAAGTAAAGGCAGTCCATGGCCACACTTGAGGTGACACTCGCACTTGGTTCAGACTTCCTGGCTCGTGTGTGCTTCCTCGCTCTGCCAGCAGCCGGGTGTGTGCTGACTTGGGCTCTTTCTTGGTTTCCTGTTTCTGCTTTGAGAACTTGCTTATGCTAGTGGGAGAAAACCACATCGTTTGCTTTCCTACAATACTGAGCCGTGTTCTTGATTGCCTCCCTCAGCACCCTCCACTCACCAGCCTCCCCCCTTATAAATGCAATACCAGAGGGAGGTGGGGCTGGGTCCGTGCTGAAGGAAGCACCTGTTGAATATGCAGGGTGTTTTCTAGTAGCAACAACTCTTACCACTCTGGTTACCTCTTTTAAACAAGGCACAGCTCAGGTGCTGGGGTTATAGCAGCTGATGGGACAGAAGACACGCAGTCTCGGCTGGCTCAGCCAAGCAGAGAATAGAGCATTTAGGCATTGGCCTTATGTCGCTAAATGCAGACTCTTAACTACTTCTGACATTTGCTGTCAATCCTCGGAGCTGGGACACCCCTTCAGAGTGAGTCTCAGGTGACTCTGGTGGCAGTAGAGCTGGGTTTCTCTTGAGGGCACAGACCGTAGCAGTTCACGCTCCTCTGTGTTGAGCTCCACAGGCTCTTTAACGCTCAACCATCAGCGTGGGAAAAGTTACACTTCAGCCACTTTCTTTTGTTGTTGTGAGGTGAGACCTTCACAGTAAGGGAACCCAGAACATTGAGGAACAACTCTCTGGTCTCGCCTCATAAAGGTTTTTAAACTTTGTTTTAAACCTTGTTTGTGAATCCTCAAAATCATTTTGGTGAGCTGCAACCAGAATTACTTTAAAGACAAAATCGGAAAAGATTACCACGGTACAAAGAATTATTGGCTTTATCTTTTTTCTCTTGTGTGCATGTGAGTATGTGCGTGGACCCCTGTTCAAAATAGAGAATGCAATTCTTCTTTTAAGTTCACAACTTAAAAGAAAATGAAAGCAAACTTTCCCAGCAACACTGTTGTAGAGAACAGAGACCTGTTCATCAAGCCTGGGGGTACCCACCCGAGAAGCCAAGCCCACTCCCCAGGCTGGAAAGTGTATTGGAGCTGAAGGATGTTGCATTGCTTTTCTCTGCTGCTGGCCTCACCATGTGGCCCTGGCCTAGCCCCAGTTTCCTGTTGGTTCTTGTGCACACACACAAGAGGCTGAGAGGAAGAGGAAGGTGCCAGGCAGGCCTCCAGGACAATTTTTAAGCCACAGTGGCTTCTTTTCATCTCCTAGAAGCTGATTGGTGGTGGTGGTGCTGTTGAGTCGAATATGACTCATCCAGACCCTCTGAATAACAGATCTAAACCTTATCCTGGATAGGAGAGTTATAAGGATATCAAGCCACCTTAACTTTATCAAGCTTTCACATTTACATTTGCTGACTCTCCATGATAACTATTCTTGTATAAGAAACTATTATGTGAGTCAAGATATTTAGCTTCCAAGAAGCCTGACATAAGCATGTATGTGGTTAGGGATGGGGAGGGGAACCTTCCAGGTTCAGAGAGAGTGGGACCGATGGCTGGGGTTCTGGCCTCAGGATTAGCTGCAGGTCAGTGCCTGGCGTGTTCCCGGAGCTTCCAAGGTGTACTCCTGCACGCCTCACCTCAGGGTGACCTCATGGCGAGCCCTAGGCCTCACTCCCTGGCTGCCAGTTGTGGTTGACGGGCAGGGTCTGGATTCAGGAAACAGATCTATTTGGAGGCATCATACTTGAGATGCACAGGGTTCATAAGGCTGAAGTCCCTTGGTGATTTCTGCCTTAGCTATGAGAAACTACAAGTTTTCAATGACTTGAATGTTGTAAAATGATAGCATTTCTCACACTCCATTCTCACAGCTTCTTCAGAGGCTGTCTCTTCCTGTGAGCTCCCTGAGGGTACAGCTGTGTTCTGGTCACTGTTGCCTCCCAGGAACCAGCACTGAGTCTCCAGTCATTTGTTGACTAATAATGTGTTTGAACATGCCATGCTCTGTGTTTGCACCAAGTTCAGTTTTGAACAAAGCGCACCTGACCTGAGGATTTTATCAACTGTTGAAGAGAAACCCACAGGAAAGCGAGGTGGGGGCGGGGGTGGATGTTAATGTTCAAATAAGTACTTAGTACACAGAGCTAGGAACCTTGGGGAGCTGTGCTTGCTTTGAGAGCCCACAAGCTCCCTAAGTAAAGAGATCAAGTAGATAATTAACTACACAGAAGAGAATAGGGTCTCTTAGTTTCAGAGTCCCATGGTGCATGAGGGGGCTGCTAACTCAAGGGCCATGCCTCTCTGATGGTTCGAATCTATCAGCAGCTCTTTGGGAGAAAAATGGTCACAGCCTCAGAAACTCAGTGCAGAGTCAGGCGGAAGTCAGTTTTGATTTGATGGTGATGAGAGAAGGACAGAGGTTACATGGGTGCACTAGGAACACAGTCTGGGAGAACTGTCCAGCTGTCCTTAACATTTTACTTGTGTCTTTCTTTTTCTCCTTTTCAACAGCTTAAATGGAAACTTGATAAAGGCTGAAGAGGCCAAAGTCTTTGAAAATGATAAGCGCATTGTCTGTTTCTAAGGCCTTTCCTGGCTCTGGGAGTCTCTTCGGCCAACTTAACTCTGTGATCATTTCGGTTTGGATGTCGTAGAAGAGTCTGCTGAAATGGGCCAGTCAGGTTCCTCTGCCTTGAGGATTCAAGCTGTCCTCCCCTACAGATGTGTGATTGGCAGGCTTGTCGAGTAACTCTTATGATTTCACCAGAAAATGGTCTTATGTGTTGTTTCAGATCATAAATAACCATGCAGAGACTTCAGTATAGCCACAGTTCTTTTTCTGTGCGACTAGAGGGCTAAAACATTGAGGAGAACGGAGAAGTCCAGCCTCGGCTCACACAAGGACCAGGGAAATAATTTGCTTGCTGACATGCTCACTGAAGAGCTGAGGGCCAGCCGGGCTTCCAGGAGAAAAGATGCTCCACAGACAGGAAGTGTTTTCCCGCAAGGTGTCTTTTCCCATGGGGCTCACTCATGTGCTCACTGCCCCAGTTCAAAGCTGCGGATACTGAGGGGTGTGCAGTGTGGGGATTTGACTTGCCCCAGCTCTCGAAAACAAGTGGTGCCAAGAAAAGGGCACATCACAGGCCTTTAAAACTTAGCAGATTTAAGAGAAAGGATGATGCCCTCAAGGTGCTGAGTTTTATGTCTGGGTTGATCTCCTCTGGGAGGCCACGTCCTATGTGTCAAGGTGTCCTTTCACAAGAAGGAGGAAAAATCCATTCCTGTCCTCCAAAAGGAAGAAGACAAAGCTGGCCCTTGTGGCCCAGGGACTGGACGCAAGTGTCGCTCTCCATTGCCTTTGACGATGGGAGGTAACAGAATTGGAGCTGAGCTGAGAACTTGACTAGCTGAGCATGTCATTTTAATATCCACCACCATGGTCGGTGGCAGGGAGAGTTATTATCAAGTAACCTGTCTTTCTACCAGTTCATTTGTTAATAAAATACTGAAAACCCTATTTCTAATTGCTTGAGTCTGAAAATTTTTTTGCTTAGCTTTCTTTTTTTTGTAAATGTTATTTTATTAATTTTAATGAATGTTTACAGATTTTTTTATTTCCATTCCTTCATAGTTGCATTTTTCTCCCTGCCCAACCCTCCTCCCAATTCACTCTTCTCTTTGAAAAGTAAAAGAAAAATTCTTTCATTGGTATATATTCCCTCTGCCCCACCCCAAACCCCTGTACACTCCACTATGCAGCCTTCATTCTGGACTCTTATGACCATAATACCCAATCATATATCACTTTTAAACTGTTCTCTCCCTCATCTGTTTCAATGCAGTCTGCATAATTTATCCAATTTGGGTCTGAAATTTTTAAAGGAGGCTCAGCCTGGTCATGCCTCAGTCCTCCTCCAGCTGTATTTCACCTGACTCCCTGCAGAGACTCCTCCCTGCACTGGGCAGGTTCCTGGTGATGCGCTGTGAGGAGAGGCCAGTGGAAGGAAGGTCCTGCGGAAGGAAGGCCATAGGTGTCACCATTTGACCCAGCTCCATCCAGTCTTTGGACAAGAGAGAAAAAGGCCAATGCACCGTCTGAAGCCTCTCCATCTAGATTCTGAAACCACATGAGTGGCTTCTCAGAGGAAAAGACATGTATCAAGAGGTTAAGGATTAATCATGGGGTGGTATAATTTGATGGGTAGGGAGAATGAGGAAAATGGGAATGTTCTGGTTTGAAAAACAATGTATTGAATTATGCAAATAAACTAGTATAAATTTTTATTTATTTTTTTTTAAAGAAGTTAGACCCAGGATATGCTGGGTGGGCCAGGTTTCCTGGTCCTCACCACCATACGTGGCAGGCCTGGGCAGCCCAGAATACTATGCAGAACTCAGGAGCAATGATTTTGAAAAAAAAATGTATAACATGAGTGGGTCTGGAGAGCATTATTGCTGAGTGAACTAAGTCAGGTTCATAGGATGTCCACCATCTCCCTGACTGTTCACTGCAGGGTTGAGGACACAGGAGGGTCTGTTGGTTGCAGTGGCCAGAGGAACAGAGTTTGTAGGTAAAGAGAATGAGAGGGAAAGGGTACAGGGGTCTGCATGAATTCTCTGGGCACAAGCCTGACCTGTCAGAAGTGAGCCCTGGGCATAAGAGAGGCACCCACAGCCAGTCACACGGTGGCTCAAAGTCACACTCTTCCCCAAACCAGGGCCTGCTTGTCTGCCTGTATGTGGGCCTCAGCGTGGTCAATGATGGGACCTCTAGGATTTACTCACCACTTGCTGTGTGCTAGATGCTGGATTTCTTTCTAATCCTAACACCCTTATGAGATAGGTAAAGCAGTGTTATCTTATGTTGTTGTTGTTGTTGTTGTTATGTGCCGTCAAGTCATTTGCGACTCATAGCGACCCTATGCACAACAGCCCTAAACCTTTCTCTATCCTGCGCCAACCGCACTGCCTCTGACACACCCATCCCTATTACCCCAGTCACCAAATCAATCCATCTCATAGAGGGTCTTCCCCTCCTGCGCTGTCCCTCCACCCTCCCAAGCATGATGTCCCTCTCCAAGGACCCGTGTTATCTTATAGCTGTTGAAAATTCACATCAGGGCATCTGAGTCAAAGATGTCTAGAGTCTTGGAGCTAGAAAACAGTGAAGCCCTGGTTTGAACCTGGATCTGATCCCAAATGCTACATCCTCTCCTTGTTGGGCCTCCTGCTGCCTCTAGACCACATCTCCCCTGACTGGCACAGCCCAACGACAGGCACAGCCCAGCACGCTCCTTGGTCCACTCAGAGCAGCACAGTTTCTCAGCGTTCCCATTCTGCATGAGCCTAATTAAGCCAAATACCTTTCCCCTGATATCTATTTTTTATTTATCTTTATTTTATATTTGTTTGCATACAAAAGACATTGTTTTATTTATATACATTGTGTTTTATATATGCCTCTATTCATACTGTATTTCATACGATCATTCCCATACATTGTTCTTTATAAAATTAATCACCATTGATCCATGCCCACCATTATGCCACCTTTTCAGATTCCCACTGGATTTTTCCTAATTCCTGCATCCCTTTCCTCTGCCCACCATACCCTGTCACTTCGTGACTTGCCCCCATTCCAGCCTTCCCTTTCCCTCCACCCCTTCCCCTTTGGGACTTTTGTACACATCTCACTTTTTACAATAATGATCTTACACAGTACTGCTAGGAATAAACCCTGAGGAAGGTGGAACTGACACACCTCTGTTCGTAGCAGCATTATTCATGATAGTAAGAAAATGGAAATGGCCCAAATGTCCATCAACAAATTAATGGATTGAGAAATTGTGGTACATTCACATGATGGAATACTATGCAGCACTTAAGAGCAATCATTTAAAAAAATACTATATAACATGGGAGAGTCTGGAGAGGATTATGCTACATGAACTAGTCAGGCTCATCAGGACAAATACTGTCTAAGGCCAACTACATTTTGACGATTTTAAAATATTTCCCTGTCAAGGAAATAGTTTGTTGCTTGTTGTTATGTGCCACTGAGTCATTTGCAGCTCTTAGTGACCCTACGTACAACAGCTCTGCTGTGCCAACCTCATTGTCTCAGATACACCTACCCCCTTTACCCCCAGCCACTGAGTCAATCCATCTCATCTAGGGTCTTCCTCCCTTGTGCTGCCCCTCTCAAGCATGATGTCCTTCTCCAAGGACTGGCACCTCCTTGCAACATGCCCAGAGTATGTCAGATGAAGCTTCAGAATCCTTGCTTCCAAGCTGCAGCCTGGTCTCACCCTTTCTAGGACAAACCTGTTCATTCTCCTAGCAGTCCATGGTTTATTCAATACTCTTCTTCAGCACCACAGCTCAAAGGCATCAATTCTCCATCTATCATTCCTAGTCATTGTCTGGCTTTCTGATGCATAGCAAGTAATTGCAAAGGCTATGGCCTGGATCAGGTGCATATTAGTCTCCAGAATTTCATGAAACAACATATGAGCAAGAGCCTGTGGTGACGAAGGAAGAAGTGCAAGCTACTCTGAAGAAATTGTCAAGAAACAAGGCCTCAGTAATTGATGGTATACCAATTGACATATTTCAACAAACAGATGCTGCCCTACATGTGCTCACCAAGCTGTGCCAAGAAATCTGGAGGACAACCACCTGGCCAACTAACTGGAAGAGATCCATATTTGTTCACATTCCAAAGAAAGGTGATTTGACAGAGTTGGAAATTATCAAACAATATCACTAATACCACAGGCAAGTAAGATTCTGCTGAAAATTATCCAAAAACTACTGGAACAGCACATCAACATAGAACTTGCAGATGTGTAGGCTGAGTTTAGAAGAGGCCATGGTACTAAGGATATTATAGCTAATGTTAGATGGATATTGGCTGAAAGCAGTGAGTACCAGAGCAATGTTTGTGTTTCATTGACTATGCAAAGGCATTTGACTGTGTGGATCACAACAAATTGTGCCTAACTCTGAGAAGAATGGGAATCCCAGAACACTTGATTGTACTTATGTGAAAACTACACAGTGGTCAGAACAGAACAAGGAAACACTGAATGCTTCAAAATCAGGAAGGGTGTACACCAGGGATGTGTCCTTTCTCTACACCTGTTCAATCTATATGCAGAACAGATCATCTGGAAGGCTTAGCTGTATGAGGAGGAATGTGACATCAGGATTGGAGGAAGACTCATCAACAACCTGCGTGACGCAGATAACACAACCTTCCTTGCTGAAACTGAGGAGGACCTGAAGCGCTTGCTGCAGAAGGTCAAGGATTGCAGCATTCAATATGGATTGAAGCTCAAAGTCAAGAAAACAAAGATTCTCACCACTGGGCCAATTGGCAGCATCATGATAGATGGTGAAGAGATTGTTAACAGCTTCTGTTTGCTTGGCTTCACAGTTAACACTCTTGGTACAAGCAGCCAGGAAATAAAAAGATTAATTACATTGGGACAGTCTGCTGTCAGGGACCTCTCCAGAGTACTGTAGAGCAATGATGTTAGTCTGGAGACTAAAGAGATAAGAACTAATGAAAAGTTTGAG